CGCAATCATTAGCCTATTTTTACAAAAACTGCTTCTACGGGGCCATAACGTAAGATACAAGGTAATGGAGCCTTTTATACATTGTCGTGTTTCTTTAGAAATAAACAATGGACAAATGGAGGCTTTAAACCCCTCAAATGTAAAGTTATTCGCTGTCAAAGTGACGCCAAAACGAATGGGAGTCAATGGAATGCTAACAGCAGGTGAAGGCTTGATAGCCAATGGCGGCCCCCAGTTTCCGGCTGGTGGATTACCCCCTTGGTCTGGCCTCGCTCCATTGACAAGCGTTAACTTCCTTGTAGGCGGGTTGCCTACTCTGTTGAAGTTTAAAACTATTGGATCTGCCATAACCAATCGCTAACGTTTGGTCGTGACGTATGACGACTCAAACTAGCGCACGACATCAACGTGATCGTTCTCAGCCACTCCCTCTGTTCGCTGATTGGACCGGTAAAAAATTGACCGGAGAAAACCAAAGAATACACCACAAACCCAGACATAGTACTGAAGGAAAATGGAAATTGAGTGGAAGTACGTAGGAGGGCGGAGCCAGGCTACCCAAATACAGCCTGGCTCTATTTTGTCTATTGTGATCAAAAATATTTATCTGTAAATTATATTTAGATTCCGAAACAAGCTAGTACACACTTTTTCATCTTTGCTAGTCTCCTCTGTACCCTCCATTGATGGTGACCAGCAGCGTTGGTAGTAAATACAATTAACAACGCTACTAACCTCACAATTTCCATGTGAATTTAACAACAACATCTCATAACATGCTCTTTGTTCCAACAAATGAAAATGCTAGAGGGCGTTTAGTGTGTAGAACATTTAAACAAAAAGGCCTACAAGTACACAAAGTGAGCTGAACAGTGTAAGGTTTGTTGCGATGAACAAAAATAGGAATAAAAGAGTTTTCATTTTCCTTTTTGTGAGTATAAGCACTACGAGATGGCCAAAACAGTATGCAATAAAATATGTTGTATAATGTACATAGTGCACATCGCTCTGGAATATTTGATTCTGAATGGTCAGTAGCAGTGTTCTTGATGCGATTGAGAGATTTAAACACCATTGTCATGATAGATGGCAAACAATCATTGATGGCTGAGGAAGCGACACAATATAAAGCAATAACGTATAAACCTTTGAAAAGTATGTGTACAAATTTAGTTATGTTATCTTGTGCAATATATAAATATAGATAAATATGTGCAAAAAGTGCGAATATGTTATTTTAGCAGGGCAGTGGTACATAAAAATATCCTATAAATGTAGTATGGTGTCCGAATATATGCACTACAACTCTTTATCATGCATGCAGAATCTGTAGTTTATGGTAACACTTCAGTTTAGGGTCCAATTCTCACTATTAACTAGTTGCTTATTAGCATGCATTTTACTAGGATATTGGCTGTTTATTATTAGTACTTAAAGCACATGACTTATTCTGCATGAACATTCTACATCCCTTAAAGGGATAGTTCAAGTTGTTCCAAACCTGTAGGCTACATTCCTTTGTTCTGCTGAACACAAAGGGAGATATTTCGAAGAATGTTTGTAAGCAGATCTCGCCCCCCATTGATTACCATAGATTTTTTTTCCCCTACTATGGTAGTCAATGGGGGGCAAGATCTACTTGGTTACAAACATTCTTCCAAATATCTTCCCTTTGTGTTCAGCAGAACAAAGAAATTTATACAGGTTTGGAACAACTTGAGGGTGAGTAAATGATGACAGAATTTTCATTTTTGGGTGGAGTATCCCTTTAAAGGGGTCATATAATGGTACATGCACTTTTTCAAGTTGATTGTACTGAAATGTGTGTTGGCAGTGCCTGTACACAACCATCATATAATGATAAAAATCCATCCAGTTTTTTTTTTAATCTCCTTATATGTTTTCCCCAAGCGGCAACCTCCCTGTCTCTCTCTTGAAACCAACATGGAAGTGAATTAAACTGCAATTCATCGACTGGCCGCTTGAGGCTGATAGCAAAAGTGAGTCAAATCTGTATCTCCCCCATGTTAAAATGCCCAACTTTACAGCAGAAAAAAACGTTTACAGCCTGGTGGCAAAAAGTTTTTTTGGTCTATATAGCTAATTTTGCCCTTCATGACAACTGTGAGGGGGGTGACTTTTTTTTACAACTCATCCGTTTAAATTATATTAAGCCTTAAAGTTCTGAATAATTAAGGGCGTGGCCACTTGAGTGACAGGTGGATTGCGGCTGCTGTCACTGCGAGCCGTTTGTCTGCCATCTGTTAACGTCACCCTCAGCTAATTCCAGCACTGTACTTGCCATCTCTGCAGTGTTTGTGCTTTTTTCGGGATTATTTCATACAATTTAATACACGCATTATACCTTCGCCCACGCCGTTGGATTCCGTCGTTGTCGAGTATGGAGAGAACAACCAGTTGTATTTCCTTGCATGCACTAATGGATGTCTGACAAGTTCGTTGCTTTTTGGAGTTTAGATTTAAAAACGTCTATAGATATAGAGACCACAGTCGTTATGCGGTGCTGTTGCTCTCACGGAACAGATATGCTTATTTAACTGTTAGTGTTAAATAAAAAAACACCAAATCCTGCAAGTGACAGTGCTTTCTCTCCGTCCATGCAATAGTTACACACCCTTGAATGAGCGTGGATTTCTAGTGCATTTACTTGAACTTCTTAGGTAATATCTTTAGTTTAATTTGAGAAATTGAGAGGCGGCCAAAATCAGATTTTAAAATGGACTGAATAAAGCTCTTTACGAACTTGACGTGCGGTGCGATACCATGCTGACTGACATGTATGCGTATGAATCACTGTCACACGCACAAGCTCAGAGCAATATTGTAAGTTACTGCATGATAATACATTTTTTAACTAGCAGAATAATAATGCATCACGATACACAGTCTCACTTTTAATTACGTCTTTTAACTATTATAGCATTTCGAAGGGCAAAAACATGAACTCTAACTATTGGCTTTACTACTACAATCAGCTGTCACTTTAGCGCGAGGCCAGTAGCATATAGCATTAGCACCTCAGCTCCACCCACGTCCCGCCTCTTTGCCAATTTTATTTTATTTTTATTTATTTTTGGCGACGGCCGGGCCCGCCCACTTTAGGCTTCAAAAACGCTCTTCATATTTTTTTACAGTCTATGGTTTTTTTCCCGTCTCAAATTGAGCCGTTCGACCATGTGACGTCACACGGTCGGACGTCCCTCCCACGATTGTTGATTGACAGCAGCGTTTCAACACAGACCCGCCCTGAGCGAGCTGACATCATAGTCCGCCATTGTTGATACGCTGGAGCAGAATGGCGTCTAAGCGATTGTGGTGTTCTGTTCTTGGGTGTAAAAACGAACACAGCAGTCATTTTGATGTTCCTAAATCCGAACCGCTGAAGACACAGTGGCTGAGTTTTGATTTCAAAGGGAATATTCCCTACGATCAACGTCAATGCTTTCATGTTTGCGCAAATCATTTCTCACCCGATTGCTTTATAAACGAGGATCAATATAAAGCTGGTTTTGCTAAGAAGCTGCTCCTGAAAAAAGAATCGGTAACAGTTAACTATTCATGTCCCTGCTGCACCTCCAGAAGAAGTGTGTAAAGTTTTATTAAACTTTATATTAATCTTTGCAAATCGCTTGCACGCTTCACGATGAATGCGGCTAAGGTTTACACTCAGGGTACATTACGCCATGTTTTCTATGTACGACGTTCTCAATATAATTCATAATCCCACGTTTATAATGAACAACGCGTTATGGTTATTGTGTTATTACAAACTGTGTACGTATACATCAGTAAACACATAGCGTTCGTATCTCACTACTCTACCCTGCCAGTACATACAAAGATAGATCAAAGTGACATTACGTTAACCAGCCATTCAGAAACGTCCTATTCGAGCCTTAAAGGGGTCATGAACTGGCTTTTTAAATTGTTTTATATTGTTGTCTGAGGTCAACTTATGACGTTCGCTTGTTTTTTACATTCAAAAACATCAAAATGAATAAGTAATAGGCTACTTTCTACCCTAGTTTGAGCCTAGCTCAAAAATGCTCGGTTTTTATGGGCGTCTCGCATTGAAGACTTGGAAGTAAACGCCCACTGCTGTGAGTGGATAACAATTTTGCATATTATGAGTTTCGTGTAATGCGCGAATCGGTGGGCGGGGCTAAACCGGCCGTGTTGAAGTAGGCGTTGATCTTCTTCTGCGGGGGTGGTGTTTTATCCTCTTTGTCGTCATAGTTCCCCACTTTGAAAAACGAGTCGTTTGCTGAGCCTGGTGTCAATAAAAGCTTTTATTGGACTAACAAGGACGTTTTCAGTTCTGAAACTTACAGGATATTCTTATAATTTGATAACCTCTTAGATGTCAAAAGCTCAAAGAAAATTTGATTTCTCAGTTCATCACCCCTTTAATTGTCGAACTTCTTCGGGGCCGTCATCTTGTTCCGGCTCCGACTCCGGTTCAAACTGATACGGTTGCACAGATGTGTCCTCAGAGACTCCTGCTGCCCTTCTTTCTCCAAAATATACCCTCAACTGTTGTCAAGGCAACACTCCATGTGTGTTGTGTCAAAACGCCCCACAGAACGGAGGGGCGGAGTGAACGAAGCTCATTATCATTTAAAGACGCATGCATTTAAACGGCGTGCTGAAAACAGAGCTGTTTTTGACCAGGTAAAATGAGTGTTTTCTTACAATACTCATGAGAATTTTTAATTAAAGTATATTACAAACTTTTCATTTAGACCCTAAAGAATCAAATTAACTTGTATGAAAATGGCATTTATATGACCCCTTTAATTCTACCCAATACCTAAACTTAACAACTACCTTACTTGCTATTAATAAGCAGCAATTAAAAGTGTATTGAGGCAAAAGTTGTAGTTAATAGTGAGAACTGTACCATATTTCTAGTGCATAGTACATTTGCAAACGAGACCTCCAATCCCGCCCGCAAAATCAAAAATGACACATATTCGGCATAGATTTCAACAAAACTCTTTATTTCACTTATACAGTTTATAAAATCAGCTTGCCTGCTTTGATGCCAACATAAAAGATATGTGGGACATTTGTTTGTGTGTGTGTGTGTGTGTTTCAGAGAGAGCAAAGAGAGACAGGCTCAAAGAAAGAAAGCTTGAGAAGAGTGTGTTTTTGTGTTTTGATCGTGTGTGTGTGTGCATGTGTGTGAATATCCGAGTGCTGATAAGGCAACATGCAGTCTTCAGTTTTTTGTGGCTTCAAAGAAAGAACAAACTGCAATGTTTGATAGCTTTGTCTTAGTTACCTAGCAGACACAAGCCTGGGGTGGATCTGAACACGCCGTTGAGTGAAAGGACAGGGACGGGTTTGGGTGGCCATGACGGCAAGGCTAAATGAAGATGAAGACGGTCATCTTATTAGTAAAGATCTACACTTCTTAGCATTCCCTTGGTAAAACATAGTTCCTAGAGTCAGCATATAGCACAGTGCTACAGAACAGACCAAAGACAAACTTTGCAACGGCGCTGTAGTATTGCTTTTACATTGGCATCACAAATTCATGATCGCACACCGACTTCACATGCATTGCAACAAAATCAGGACGAAACAGGATGTGTTTGAAGATTTGATCTCTTTCCACAACATCGAAAGACTGTCTTTTCTTGTTGTCCTAGCAGCCGAAGGATTCAAAAACCCTTTTTCAACAGACCCATTTCACTCAATCGCAAATTGAACCAAACCTCACATGTACAAGCTAATGAAGAGATGCAAGTCTAGCACAGCTACATCAATACAGATAATCTTTTTGTTTTTGTTTTACAGTATCTATGTATACAGTATGCGTTCACATTTTGTGAATAAACATATTTGTTCTTACTCTAACAAATCACACGGTAAGTCTATTGGTCAAGCACACAGTAACTCTATTCTGCACACACACTGAACTAAAGGAATGTAATGTATCTCTTAATGTACATACAACTTGTCATTGCGTACATTGCAGCATTTTCAAGACTAAATAAATCGAAAAATGGCTATGATCTCACAAAGATCCAGACGCACATTGCTACATGCCCTGATGAAATGAGATGTATTGCTTTTCTTACATTACTGGTCATGCGGGTATCTTTTTTTTTTCTTTTCAGACATGGTCCTAAAACACAACCTCAACCTCTGTTATCAGCCTCTGGGCTTCACGGTTCCTGTCCATTTTTTTGTGTAAGGAGTGAGTGAGGGTGTATGTTTGATCGTGTCTGATGAGGTGTGGACGGGCAGAGGGATGACAATAACACTAGAGAACAGTATGATGCCACCACAGATGAAGAGGAGGGGAAGCGTCACACATCTAAAGGCTACAGGGCTCAGGGAAAGTCTTTTTCAACTCTGGTTTTCCATACAGTCACAAAAAAATATCGGTAACATCTGGAGTCGGGTCGAGGTGAGGCTTTGGAGCAGAAACTCGGAGGTAAGGGAGGGGACCGTTTCAGCTTCAGCCCTCTGGACTAATAACCCTGATGAACCGAAAGAAAAATATGTTCAACACAGATTACGGTAAGTCATTCTTATCTGCACAGATGCTTTAGACACTTTCCATAGAGAGAGTTCAGAATCAAGTCATTCTTTTTTCTTTTTCAGGAAATAGACAGTGAAAGTAAGTGTTTAACTTTTAGAAAATGACCTCAGGAGGTCCATTTTATCGCAATAAACATATGCAAATACAACCCCGTTTCCAGAAAAGTTGGGACATTTTGTAAAATGCAATAAAATTCACAATCTGTGATTTGTTAATTCTCTTGAACCTTTTTTTAACTGACAAAATTACAAAAGTTTTCCAATGTTTTCACTGACCAATATAATTGTATTTAGTAAATATAAACAAATTTTGTTATTGATGGCTGCAACACACTACAAAAAAGTTGGGACAGAGGCAAAGCAAAAGTGAAAAGATTATAAAGGTTAGATTATCCAACTCTTTTGAAACAGTCCACAATGAGTAGGTGAATTGGTAGAAGGTGAGGGTATCATGTTTGGGTGAAAAAGGAGCTTCTCAGTCTTTGCAAGCAAAGATGGGTCGTGGCTCACCACTTTGTGCCAAATATCATGAGAGAATTGTCAAACAATTTAAAAATTCCATTTCTCAATGCAAGATTGCAAAGAAGTTATGTCTTTCACCATCTACCACACATAATATCGTGAATGGATTCCAGAGAAATCTCAGTCTGTGTAGGGCAAGGCAGTAGCCCTCAGATGGCATTACATGAGAAATCATCATGCTACTCTGTTAAATACAGCCACATGTGCTTAGGAGCTCTAATGCTTTAGAAAACAATTTTAGCTTAACACAGTCTGACGCTACATCAAGAAATCCACTTGAATCTCTGTTGCGCAAAGAGAAAGCTATACATCAGTTCTATGCGGAGATGCTGGCGAGTTCTCTGGGCCAGAGCTCATCTCAGATGGTCTAAAAGACAGTGAGAATGTGTGCTGTGGTCAGATGAGTCCATGTTTCAGCTTGTTTTGGGGAAAAACAGACATTGAGTTCTCAGTCCCAAAGACGAAAGGGACCATCCAGATTTTCATCAGTGACAGGTGCAAAAGCAAACATCTGTCCTGGTATTGGGGTGCATCAGTGCAAGCAGTATGGGTGACTTGCATTTGTGTGAGGACATCACTGACATGGAGGCATATATTTGGATTGTACAGAGACATAAACTGCCATCAAGATGACATCTTTCCTGAAGCAAGACAATGCCAGGCCTCATTCTGCACATGCTAAAACTGAGTGGTTTCTAGACACTCTGCACCAGCAGATCTGTCTCTTATTGAAGTATGACCCATCATGAAAAGGAGAATCAGGCAATGATGACCATCTTGTCTTGTATCAGACAAGATTGGGCAAATATTGCACTTGCAACACTTCAGCAATTAGTATCCTCAATTCCCAAATGATTAAAAAGTGTAATTAAAAGGAAAGGTGATGTGACACAGTGGTAAACATGCCTCTGTCCCAACTTTTGTGGAGTGTGTTGCAGCCATCAAAATCAAAACTTGTTTATATTTACAAAATCAAAAGTTGGAAATATTTTATTTGTACATTTGTCAGTTAAATAAAGGTTCAAGAGAATGAACAAATCACAGATTCTTGATTTGATTGCATTTTACAAAATGTCCAAACTATTCTGGAAATGGGGTTGTATAAAGCATTCATTCATTCTAAAATATTATATATTTTATAATATAGAATATTATAGATAATTATTATATTCACTATACACTATTATGTTATATACAAACTACTGTTCAAAACTCTGATACTTTTATTCAGCATGAACGCATTAAACTGATCAAAAGCAAAGACATTTAAAATACTATTTTTTTTTATTTGAAATAAATGCTGTTCTTTTGAATTTTATATTCAGCAAAGAATCCTAAAAGAAAATGTGCCAAGGTTTTCTGCAAAAATAGTAAGCAAAACTGTCTTCAAAATTGATAAGTAGTAATGTTTTGCAACAAATCAGCATATTAGAATGATTTCTAAAGGATCATGTGACACTAAAGACTGGAGTAATGATGGTGAAAGTTCTGCTTTGCCATCACATGCCATCATGTTAAAATATATATTAAAATAGAAAAGAGTTATTTTAAATTGTAATATTTCACAACATTACTGTTTTTATTGTATTGTTTGATCAATTCAATGCCAACTTATTAAGCATGAGATATTTACCAACCCCAAAAACGATGGTATATATATATATATATGATTTGATTTTATTAATTTTTTTTCATGAGAATTAATCAGAGGCTATAAGACTTCTGAGGCGGAACAGGCGAAATCCTCAATTTTAAAGGGAAGACATACACATTTGTTTAAAACAATTTACGGCAAGCTAATTTTATGTTCGAAACAAATTTATCTAACAAAAAACAAACAAACAATGGGACAAGCTGTATAATTGTTTATGGAAAGTGTTTTTTTTTTCTCCGTACTCACCTCTCCACCCTCTCCTCCTTCCATGCCGCCCCCATGGGAGAAGTCACCCTGTGGAATACAGACACCATTAAGATTCAAGATACTGCTGCTGCTGTCTTAAGCTCCGCCTGTCATTCATATGTTCAGCAGTGAATCTTCATACAGAGCTCAATAACATTGCTTTTGTCATAGCCATACTAAAGAATATCCATTCAGACATGCAGGGATGCAGCACAGCTACAGGCCTCGGCTCTCAGACACTCCCTGTGCAGAGGGACAATGTCTCTTTACTGCAGTGTTATGACTGCTGTCTCTGCAGGGATGGAGGGAAGGAGGGAGGGATGTAATCGATGGCCATGGAGTTCCTGTGGAAGGTGAATGCAGCTGGCAGGCGCATCTTCTTCCACAGTCTCTCTCTCTCTCTATTTGTTCTGCTCTTCTGCTGAGTCACTGTCACTGTCCTCCTCAAAGGACTCAGTCTTAGTCCTAGCTTTCTTCTCTACATCCCCATCAAATCTTCCCGTCCTTCAACAAAATTAAAAAAATAATGTTGCGATCTGTAACATTTGCCAAAAAGGATAGTCGTTTCAGAGGCGGAGTAAGTTCGATTTTGATGACAGATTGCGAAGACAACCATCTGTGACAACCATCTGTGATTTCATTTATAAAACGTGTATGCAAAGATTTGATCTTAGAAGTGCGCCTACGCTAAAATCCACACCAATGTTCAGATTTATCAAAGCGGTGCTTAACACAACGTCAGGTTCCAAGCAGGCGTACGCACTTTTCTTTGTGACAGCTTAGGAGTACTGCAGGTATTTTGCAGAACCGCAGAGCCATACGTCACAGCAGTCTGAGGACGTCTTAGACCGGTGTTGGGGTGGAGCTTATAGCGTCATTAAGGGTACGTTCAGCGGTTGGCTGGGGTTGAGCATTCGTTAAGGTACAGCTTACAGTAATGGAGACGGCTAGGGTTAGTGGTTGAAGCGAGGTATGCGATCCTCAGCACCACCCTAACTTTTGGTGCTGCTGTTCTCAGACTGCTGTGACGTGTGCTTCTGCGGTTCTGCAGTTACATCTAAGCGCCAATATTAATAGTACGGGATTTGATTCTTACAGTGCGCGTATGCTAAGTGGTTCTCAACCTTTTTGACTCCATAACAATATATTTAAATATTCTTGACATCACACTTTTATACTAGGGCTTTCTCGTATATATTGTAAGACTGTTGTGGGAAGTTGGGAACCGTAGTTGTTAAGAGAGTGAATTAAAATAAGAAATATCTTGATTTTTAGTTGTTTTCTCTTATTTCAATGTTTGTTTTGTTTTGTTTTAAAGTCATCTTGAGGCCCCCTTGGAACTTTGCTGTGGCCCTAGTGGGCCCCTGGTTGAGAACCACTCTCTTAGATTAAATCAGTGGTTCTCAACCCTGTCCTGGCGTACCCCCAACACTACACGTTTTCCTTGTCTCCCTAATCAAACACACCTGATTCAACTCATCAGCTCATTAACCCATGTGATAATGAGCTGATGAGTTGAATCAGGTGTGTTTGATTAGGGAGACAAGGAAAACGTGTAGTGTTGGGGGTACGCCAGGACAGGGTTGAGAACCACTGGATTAAATGTAGGACGGTGTCTATGCAACATTTTATAACTGAGACCCCTGGTGTCCTTAAAGTAAAGTGCACCAATGAATCGTCCAAAATAAGACCAAGAATGTGAACGTATATAGGGTCATTTTGATTTAATGATTATTTTGAAGCACAATTGCTCTCTGAATATCTATAATCACAGTTAAAAAGCTTATGACAACCCATTTTGAGAATGAAAACTGATCTGTGACTTCCAGAAAAGTTTTTGTACAATACAGAATTTTAAGGACTTTTATGTATATTAATAAATACATATTAATGTATGTATTAAATTATGTTTTGAAGGCAAAACTTTGGTTCTAGAATAGCCATTATTCCTGACTATTATTGAACTTGTTAAAATGTATAAGACCATCATTTAACATTATTTGAAAAGGAGCAACAGCAAGTAATATTGTGCAGGGAAAACATGCATTATCCATGAGCAGTTAGAAATGCACACTTTAGTGTCATTTACGTGGTCTGTCCTGCCAGAATACATGTTCTGGTAGAAGACATGACAGAGTGCACAGGCTGTTAGTCGATGCAATGGGAATGATTGTATTAGACAGGTAAATATAAGGATAGATCTTGATGATGCTATTAGTGTAGATTCAGAACAACAATTCACTTAGTTGTCAGAGACTAAAGCTCCAGTGTTATTGTTAGCTAAAACTACATTAATTGGAATATTGCTGAAATAAAATAGAATATAAATATTAGATTCAAAATTTTAACTTAAAGAAACAAACTAAATTTAGAAATGCAATATTATTTATATAATAGTATATAAATAATACTAAAACAACATGGATCTGCTCCCTTGAGTTCTGAGCAGAAGTAGAGTTTTCTTTCCAGCAAATTACTGAACACTGACAAATCATGAACTTAAAGGGAATCCAGGTAATCAATGCAGCCATTCGATCTCATTATGCACAATGAAGAGAATGACTCCAGTGGGGATTGAACGAAGCCAACTGAACTCTGCTGTTATATGGATGGTTGCGCACATTTGCCCCATCAGTGTGTTGTCTGTCATACAGCAGTCAGCTAAATTTAAAGCTCAGTCTCATAAACCACCATTCCCAAGCCCATTTAATAAGCACCTCATATAAAGCCTCATCCTGTCAACAGCACAGTTGTACGGGGAGGGAAACAAACAGAATATGTTAAACACAAAACACAGTATAAATACAGTAGCCACATGTAGTACATGCAATACACATGAAATATTAAACAGAAAGATAAATATGCCGATTTTTGGGTCATCTGAAAGGACGATATGCCAGTGGAGAACCGCATGAGAGCGCTGTCACTCACCGGGTTGACCATGCCGGTTGATGCACCCACATTCTCCAGCCCCTCTGCTGTCTTCTGTCCCATTTCATTAGCACTGCCTACCGCTGTTTCACCCACAATATTCGCCTGGTCGGTGGTCCTGTGGGCAACTGTGAGGGATAGTGTATGTCAATGACTTCTCAATTCTCAATTTATATTTTCTAAAGAGGCACACCTATTCATTTCTCACCTGTGTTTACACCTGACACCACTCCCTCCTTTGTCTTGTTGCCTGAAAGAAATAAACATGAAAAGTTCTTTACGAGAATGGTGCAACAACCTCATTTTACAACTATACGGAAGAATGAGCTCCATATAACAGCATGTAGAGGAAAAGCCACCCTATTGATGTTCTGAGTCAAAATGTGAAATATAGGCCTACTCTACGGTTCAAAAGTTGGGGGTTGGTAAGATTTTTTAATGTTTTTGAAAGAAGTCTCACCAAGGCTGCATTTGTTTGATAAAAAATACAGTGAAAATAGTAAGAAATATTATTACAATTATAAATAACATTTCTTATTATTATCATCAATGTTGAAAACAGTTGTGCTGCTTAGTATTTTTGTGGAATCTGACACTCTTTAATGAATAGAAAGTTCAAAAGAACAGCATTTGTTTAAAATAGAACCCTTGGTTTATTATGAATGCCTTTAATGACACAGTTGGTCAATTTAATGCATTCTTTCTGAATAAAAGTCATCTCTCTCTCTCTCTCTCTCTCTCTCTCTTCTCTCTCTCTCTCTCTCTCTCTCTCTCTCTCTCTCTCTCTCTCTCTCTCTCTCTCTCTCTCTCTCTCTCTCTCTCTCTCTCATCTCTCTCTCTCTCTCTCTCTCTCTCTCTCTCTCTCTCTCTCTCTCTCTCTCTCTCTCTCTCTCTCTCTCTCTCTCTCTCTCATTAAATTGTTAAAAAATATTACTGACCCCAAACTTTTGAATGGTAGTGTAAATAGTTTTTACATAGTCATACGTAATAATAGACAATGGTTTTAGAACAGCATGAATAATTTGTGCCGTATCTTCGTTGTGCTGTATACACACGGTGTGTGTGTGTGTGTTTAATTATAAGTGAAAAATTATACAAATGCACAAACACAATAAACATTAAGCAATATACAAATATGCAAAGTACACAGATTTTCAACAATATGCAACATACTTGAGACATTAAGACAGACAAAATGCAAGTCTCATGTTTAAGCAATCTGATCTCATCATTTAAACCTGCTCACGTCTCTATTCACAGGTGATAGATGACTATTCAGATCAGTGCAAATAGAGGGGATTTCCAGCACCACTTTAAAGCTGATAAGATACCAAACACTTCATTAACAGACGCTTCAAAGAGTTTGCCTGTCAGTCTTACATCCACCCTCAATATCATTATATTACACAGATCACAGCCTTGCTGTCATCATACATTTAAAAATTTAACACAAAGGACATTATTTCAGCTGTTCGGTTATTAGTGCAGTCTAAGCAGATGTTGAAATTGTGTAAATATTTGGATCCAACCTGCTTCCATATTTCACTATGTCTTCAATTTATATTTATACTCAGTCAGTCTATCCCTCTCTATTCTTGGAGAGTTCCCTTCCTTCTCCCTCTCTTTCTCTATCCATCTCTGTCTTTCTTTACGTGAAAGCTTAGTTTTGAGTAGTTTCTGCATGGCTGAGCACATCTGCTCTCCTGCAGTCTTCCTGTATGTGCCTTAAAGGAGATCACTTTATATATGTCCAAGTCTATCTGCACTGTTTGCTTTTCAAATACACATTATCTGTTTGTCGGAGGAATCTGAGCTGCTTGTTGATAAAGGGTTTGCAAGATCGGTTGCAGTCGAGGAGATCAGCGTAAGACTCTGCGTCATACGCTGATGCTGACGACACAAATCAAAGGATCAAAGGCCATTCACAGTACCAAACGCTGTAGCTTTCTGACTCACAAACAGAATAAGTAACCTACCTTTGTAACAATCAACCTGAGTAATGATTTCACACCCTAGTGCACACAATGTCATATAAGCACTCTGAAGTCTCCTGACAATACATGCACTTCGATGAGAGCGGATTTGCAGGCCTGTGACCTCTGCACAGGTGACCTTGGTGGAGGAGTGCTTATAAAGATTACATCGCACCCAAATGCATGCTAGGTTGATTGTTGATCTGATTGGATTAGGTAAGATTACCACCGTCGATTTATAGGTGATGAAAATTATATCGAGGAGAGAGTTTTGAGTGTCTGGAACGCTCTATGGTGTGTAGGTCATTTTGAGACGCTGTCAATTAAATTGGCCGTGCATTGAATCCTATATAGTCATCTTTTTACGTTGAACGGTGTTTGTAGTTTGTATTTTCTGTCTCAGTCGTCTGTCGTGTTCTCCTTATGCCATCTGTTCATTTCTGTTGTGATGAGCATAAGCACACGCTATGGGGCTACAAGCCTATGACATAACACTGAGCTCTCCACCTAATTTCTCCATCTCTCTCTCTACGGTGGCATAGGGAGAGGATGAGCGTTAGTCATCTCAGTCCACTCACAACCAGGCAAATCCTGCTGCATCGGCACACGCTCTCTCTCACACACACATACGCATGGAGACGGCAAGCACAGAGGGGGAGGGAGTAAATGCTGCAGTGCTCAGCTGATCCGCTCCCTTTATGCCCCCCTTACTTTCTCTCTCGTTCACATGCACATAAACAACACTTTATAATGCATGGAGGATGAAATAATGTATTCATGTATTCATGTAATATTGGATAGATAAACAACAGGTATATATCTTATTCACATGCACATGAGTGCATGCATGAAATAAGTAAAAAATCAAATTAAAAAAAGCAAATCTCTGCCTAAAAATGGCCTTTCTACAGCATTGTAGTGCACACTGCATTTTTATGCATGAATAAAAAATGAGTAACGGCACCAAATCTTGGTATAAACTACTATGCTTTGTTAAATTGTATATTATATTATATTATTATAAATGCAGAGATCTATAATGACAACTTGACTTAAATTAAATAAAAACAAAATAATTCAAATTATTAAGTGTAACTGTATAAAACACGTGTTTGTGTTTATGTGTTAAAAAACATTATTTTTTTTTTTTTTAATTCATCTGAAATATTAGTGCACGCTGATATTGTCATTGTATTTATAAGCTTTTACTTTGTCCCGTTCAGGTCTGTACTACCATCACTCTCTCCTTCACCACACCCCAGGTTTTGTTCCCTGCACCATTTTCGCAGCATTGTTTTTTTTTTTTTTATCATTCATGAATCTCACATTCGCAGCTGCCTCCATCTACACTCTCACAGATCATCAGCAGACTAGAGCACAACCTCACCGAGACCCTCCTCTCAAAATACACTTACACACACACGCACACACACACATATAGTAATGAAATGCAGACTCATCCATCACATCTACATTAAATCCATTGGGAATAATTGCAAAGACCTTTACAGAACACAGCTATTATTATCACTGTCAGTAGTACTGCATTATTTTACCCTGCGTGGGACACACACAGAGAGACTAGCAGCAAACATCTGCACTTACCCACATACATGACTCCTTCCTTGGTCCTGAGAGCTGCCTCTTCAACCCCAGCTTTAGTTTTCTCAGCGGCGGCCACCACTCCTTCCTTGGCCATGGAGAATCCCTTCATTAGAGCATCCATCCTGGACGTTGACTTTGACTATGGTGCTCTGCAGACGGACTGGGCCTGGCAGTGTTTGCAAGGACTGACGGTGTCTGGCTAAATGCTGAAAGTTTCAGATGACAGGAGAGAGGAATACAGAGAGATTCTGCGCCGGGAAAGATGGATACACGGACACCCTGGACAGAAAGCAGTAGAATGAGAGTGAGAAAGAGAGAGAGAGGCGAGCAGGCGCAAGAGAACAGGATGCAGAGAGACAGAACCTGCTGGATGCTGCAGTGCATTTAAGTCGTGCTGCAGCTACAGCCTCCACCCACACCCCCCACCACACACACACACACACACAGCAGACGTGCACTGCTTCTCACAGCAATGTAGAACAGACTGATTACATATTTATTACGCTCTAGCCAGCAGTGCATTAAAACCAGATGATTTTTACAATTATTGCCATCCTCTTGCACCTTGGGGACATGTGCTCTGCCTCAAAAAGGTTGTTTATTTCTTTATGGGAATTCATTTGAGTGTATAAACATTCTTATCTGGCCCATGAATATAAATATTTTACCATTACCACAGTAAAAACATGTGTATAATATAATATAATATTTTTGTTTGAGTGTGTATATATATATATATATATATATATATATATATATATATACACTCACCTGGATTATTAGGAACGCCATACTAAAACTGTGTTTGACCCCCTTTCGCCTTCAGAACTGCCTTAATTCTACATGGCATTGATTCAACAAGGTGCTGAAAGCATTCTTTAGAAATGTTGGCCCATATTGATAGGATAGCATCTTGCAGTTGATGGAGATTTGTGGGATGCACATCCAGGGCACGAAGCTCCCGTTCCACCACATCCCAAAGATGCTCTATTGGGTTGAGATCTGGTGACTGTGGGGGCCATTTTAGTACAGTGAACTCATTGTCATGTTCAAGAAACCAATTTGAAATGATTCGAGCTTTGTGACATGGTGCATTATCCTGCTGGAAGTAGTCATCAGAGGATGGGTACATAGTGGCCATAAAGGGATGGACATGGTCAGAAACAATGCTCAGGTAGGCCGTGGCATTTAAATGATGCCCAATTGGCACTAAGGGGCCTAAAGTGTGCCAAGAAAACATCCCCCACACCATTACACCACCACCACCAGCCTGCACAGTGGTAACAAGGCATGATGGATCCATGTTCTCATTCTGTTTACGCCAAATTCTGACTCTACCATCTGAATGTCTCAACAGAAATCGAGACTCATCAGACTAGGCAACATTCTCCAGTCTTCAACTGTCCAATTTTGGTGAGCTCTTGCAAATTGTAGCCTCTTTTTCCTATTTGTAGTGGAGATGAGTGGTACCCGGTGGGGTCTTCTGCTGTTGTAGCCCATCCGCCTCAAGGTTGTGCATATTGTGGCTTCACAAATGCTTTGCTGCATACCTCGGTTGTAACGAGTGGTTATTTCAGTCAAAGTTGCTCTTCTATCAGCTTGAATCAGTCGTCCCATTCTCCTCTGACCTCTAGCATCAACAAGGCATTTTCGCCCACAGGACTGCCGCATACTGGATGTTTTTCCCTTTTCACACCATTCTTTGTAAACCCTAGAAATGGTTGTGCGTGAAAATCCCAGGAACTGAGCAGATTGTGAAATTCTCAGACCGGCCCGTCTGGCACCAACAACCATGCCACGCTCAAAATTGCTTAAATCACCTTTCTTTCCCATTCTGACATTCAGTTTGGAGTTCAGGAGATTGTCTTGACCAGGACCACACCCCTAAATGCATTGAAGCAACTGCCATGTGATTGGTTGATTAGATAATTGCATTAATGAGAAATTGAACAGGTGTTCCTAATAATCCTTTAGGTGACTGTATATATATCTGTGTGTGTGTGTGTGTGTGTGAGTAATATTATGTATACTATAATTTAATACAATATATGATGTCATAATAAATTTATTTGCTTGGTAATATTTATATATACACTGAACAAAATTATAAACGCAACACTTGTTTTTGCCCCCATTTTTCATGAGCTTAACTCAAAGATCTGAGACTTTTTCTATGCATACAAAAGGCCTATTTCTCTCAAATATTGTTCACAAATCTGTCTAAATCTGTTAGCACTTCTCCTTTGCCGAGATAATCCATCCACCTCACAGGTGTGGCATATCAAGATGCTGATTAGACAGCATGATTATTGCACAGGTGTGCCTTAGGCTGGCCACAATAAAAGGCCACTTTAAAATGTTCAGTGCAGTTTTACCCCCAGAAAAAGATAAAAAGGTTGTTGATTGTGGCCTGTGGAATGTTGGTCCACTCCTCTTCAATGGCTGTGCAAAGTTGCTGGATATTGGCGGGACCTGGAACACGCTGTCGTATGCGCCGATCCAGAGCATCCCAAACACATTCATTCATGCTGACTGCAGGAATGTCCACCAGAGCTGTTGCCCGTGAATTGAATGTTCATTTCTCTACCATAAGCTGTCTCCAAAGGCGTTTCAGAGAATTTGGCAGTACACCCAACCGGCCTCATAACCACAGACCATGTGTAACCACACCAGCCCAGGACCTCAACATCCAGTATCTTCACCTCCAAGATCGTCTGAGACCAGCCACCTGGACAGCTGCTGCAACAATCGGTTTGCATAACCAAAGACGTTCTGCACAAACTGTCAGAAACCGTTTCAGGGAAACTCATCTGCATGCTCGTCGTCCTCATCGGGGTCTCGACCTGACTGCAGTTCGTCGTTGTAACCGACTTGAGTGGGCAAATGCTCACATTCAATGCCGTCTGGCACTTTGGAGAGGTGTTCTCTTTACGGATGGATCCCGGTTTTCACTGTACAGGGCAGATGGCAGACAGCGTGTATGGCGTCGTGTTGGTGATCAGTTTGCTGATGTCAACGTTGTGGATCGAGTGGCACATGGTGGCGGTGAGGTTATGGTATGGGCAGCCGTATGTAATGGACAACGAACACCGGTGCATTTTATTGATGGCATTTTGAATGCACAGAGATACCGTGACGAGATCCTGAGGCCCATTGTTGTGCCATTCATCCACGACCATCACCTCATGTTGCAGCATGATAATGCACGGCCCCATGTTGCAAGGATGTGTACACAATTCCTGGAAGCTGAAAACACCCCAGTTCTTGCATGGCCAGCATACTCACCGGACATGTCACCCATTGAGCATGTTTGGGATGCTCTGGATCGGCGTATACGACAGCGTGTTCCAGCTCCTGCCAATATCCAGCAACTTCGCACAGCCATTGAAGAGGAGTGGACCAACATTCCACAGGCCACAATCAAAAAAACCTTTTTTTGGCCAGGACTCCTTTACTCCTCCTCTCTGTTGTCGCACTCTCCCCAGAGCTCAGGAACTGAATAAAAGAAGTTGTTTTGTTTTCATTCTGCTCCACCCCGGCAGCCAGCTGAGTAAAAATTTGGTCATGTCACCACCAAAATTTCTGCTCTTCCATGCCCCAGATGTCCTGCCAGGTCAGAAACCTCTACCGCACTCTCTCCCATCTCATCCAGCTGCCCTGCTTGTTCATGGCTGCAGACTTAACATGTCGACTTTCCTCCTCTCCCTTACAGACCCTCCTTTGCACCATGCCACGCCGGTTCCTTCGCCCACTTCCAACTTGCCCTGGTTGAGCAACCTAGCCCTTGCCTACCCTGGGTCACTGACCCGACGATGTCAGCATGAACATAAAACCGGGAAAGGCTCGTCCTCACGTTATACAAGAAACAACTGAGGGGGGAGGGCAGGGGCTGTGGAGATGATGAAGCCCGAGGGTGGAGCCATGGTGGAGATTTGGCAGACGACCCCCAAGGAGATGACAGATGAAGGAGCCAAAGAGCCCATGTGACGTCAATGGTACTGGAGACCGAGGTGGAGCCGTGGCGATGAGCGTCCAAGACACTAGGGAGTCTGAGACAGACAGAGCTGAAGGTGTATGTGGGACAACGTTAGACAAAGGCAGAGCTGGGTAAACGAGGGAGCCTGGTGGAGCTGTCAGGACGATAGTTTTCAGGTGGAGCCAAGGAAGGGAGGAGCAAAGGCGGGGACGGTGGGTTGACAGGCTGAGGTGGAGCGATGGGTACCCAGGCTGGAGGCGGAGCCAGGGGATCCTCTGGGCTAGGCGGAGCTGGTGGCCTGAAGAACCGAGGCTGATCCTCACAAGATTGTGTAGGAGATGCAGAGGAGCTGAAGAGACTCAGCGGAGGTGGGTCTGAGGTAATGGCTTTCAGGGGAGGCAGAAGAGGGAGGCTGGGAGGAATCACAGGCAACATGGGGCTGGGCGGGAGATTCAGGTTTGTGAGGAACCAGTGGGAAAACGGCGAATTCAGGGCTGGGCCCAACCAGCGAGGAAACAGGAGATTCAGGGCTGGGCGGAACCAGTGGAAACGGGAGATTAACCCTTTCGTACGAACGATCACAGCGGTGTGATCAGTCTAGGCTGGTCCCTGGAGCGTACGATCACACCTGTGTTATTAGAACGGTCAGTGCACCACGTGATCAACTGCCAAATTCAAACATGCTTTCGCGCGTTGGCTGGCGCTGAGCCAGAGACAGGTGCGCTCAGTGCGGTCATATATCACAACTATTCAGTGTTTTCAACCACATAATGTTTATTTTAGGTTTCAGACATTTAAATACACATAAGTACTAGCAAAAAAATTATTTTGATTTTCTAAAATACACAATGATGTCTATGGAAGCGGCAATAATAATCCTTTCCATTATAATAAGACGACACGTTTTATTCATATCAGATACACATTGTGTAAGTAGCTTTACATTTTACCATATTCTTCTCCCAGTTCACCGGCCACTTACTTTTATGTACTTCGTGAGAAGTTGGGGAATTGACGTTTTGTAAACTAAAATGGCGCCGCCCATCGCACATACAGCTCAACTAACGCAATCGTTATAAAGGTGTTTAAACAAAAAAACACATCCACTTGCACATATTTGACAATCGGAATATCAGTGTTTCATGTAGCTAATACATTTGTGAATATTTTGAATAAAAAAGGAAAAATTACATAAAAGCAGATCATCATTCATTCAGCGCTGTGTTGTGGTTGCGCTGTGTCACGTGACAAGCAATGACGCGTCACCATGGAAACATTAAAGTGACAGGTTCTAAATAACGGTCGCATAGAAAAACTCACTGTGGGGGATCAGTTAGAATATTTTAAACTTACGTGTGAAAGGGTTAAAAGGTATAACCTCCTCAAACACCTTTAAAGGGGTCCTATTATGGCCTTTTACAAAGTCTGGATTTTGTTTTTGGGGTGTACTAGAATATGTTTTCATA